ATCTAATTTAAAATTAATTGACAATAAATGAAGAATGTTTCTCATATTTAATCTACATGGTTTTTTTTAATTTTCTCAATATATAATTTTCCCACTCAATATGCCTTTGTTTTTCAAGAATAGAACCTAATACCAAGGTTTTTAAAACCGGACCGGTCATTGAACCGTTTTCGGGTCTGGTTTCTGGTTTGACTGGTTCAACCGGTTGAACCGATGAACCGGCCAGTTCAAATAACAAGGGAAATTTGATGAGAGGGATAAGTAATTTTGTAATTTCATTAAAATTAAGGGTTAAAATCAGTATAAGAAAGGAATGGTGAGGGTGAAATTGGAAAAAATAAAAGAAAATTGCATGAAAAATTGAACCGGTGGTTTTTTCGGTTCTACTAGTTCCACCGGTTTCATCGGTTTTGATCGGTTTTGATCGGTTTTGAACAGTTTTGACAGGTTTTGAACGGTTTTTGACCGATTTTGACCGGTTTTGACCTCAAACGGTTTTTTATGTGAACCGAGCTGTTTTTATTATCGGGTATCGGTCCGACCGATTCAACCGGCCGGTCCGGTCCGATTTTAAAAACCTTGCCTAATACCATGTGAAAATTGACATATGAGTTTAAACACAAGGTTGACATCTAAATTAAAATCAATTAGCAATAAATCAAATAACACTCTTTTCATTAAACTTATATGTTTTTTTGTTATATCTTTTGAAGCCCATTATAAACGTTGAGTTTGAATTTCAAGTTTTGTCAGGTAAGCAAACAATCGATTTTGTAGAAATAGAGACATGGCTTTGATATTATGTAAAAATTATGTAAACTTCAATATACGGTTTGCATCAAACTTAAAATTAATTAATAATAGATAAAATAACCTTTCTTACATTTAATTCACATATTTATTTGTTATATTTGTGAGATTTCTAATTCATCATATATTGTAATTTTTATTGGACGAAATTGACATCCTTCAAATTTCAACAAAACTGATAGGAGTCATAGGACACCTCTTACGCCTTATTCCCTTGACACTTTCAAGCAAACAAATTTCTTTGCATTGACACGGTTTGCCATCAATTATTATCCTTTGAATTTCTTTGCAAAGTACGTAGTTATTGACTTGTAATAGAAGCTTTTTTTTTTCCTCCCGAATGTTCAAATTCTTTTCCTAAAATAAAATGGAATATATTAAAAGATAACATATCAATATTTATTAGTTGAATTCATAAAAAAATTAGATAAAAAAAACTTTAAAACTACATTATTTTAATAAAACATTAAAAAAAAAAAACTAAAACAATATCATTATTGCTTTAAAAGATAGGTTATTTTGATATTTTTTAATAAAAATTTATTAAACCAACATAGTTTTTAAAATATTTTTCTTCTTCTTCTTTTTTGTGTAAATATGCTTGATAAACTATTTTTTCGATATTTAATTAATTGTTTACTTGCCTTTAGATATTATTCTTGATATCTCTGATCTTATGAACAAACAATCCGCGAGGGAACCATGCTCCCAGAGAACCAACGCTTCTGCATTTTATTATCTTCCATCTTCATCCTTTTGAACTTGTTTCTTTTGCACTGCTATGCTGCAAATTTATAATGTAACTTCATCCAATCCATTATCACAAAATGAAATCCTTATCTCCCCTACCCATCTTTTTGAGTTAGGCCTTTTGTGTCCTGATAATACCACTAATCAATATGTTGGTGT